CGGATCCCCAAAAAAAAAAAAAAAAAAAAAAAAAAAGATGGATTCAACTCTTCTCTCTTTTGCCACCTTCTCCGGGGAGCTCACATGTTCCTTTTGTAACTATCTTAGGCTTCTGTGGAGGTGGCATAGGGTAACAGTAAGCACTGACTTTACAGCCAAACTGCCGGGGTTCAAATATAGGCCCCCATCACTTGTGTGTGTCATGTTACTTAACCTCGTTCCTCATCTATAAAAGGGGATGATAGTAAAACTCACCTCACAGAGATGTCGTGAGCATTAAATAAGTTACTATACATAAAGTGCTCAGAACCATACCTGTTACACAGTAAGTCCTCTTTAAGTGTGTGCTGTTATTATTAAGGGGCATCTACTGTTTCTGCCTGCCCAGTATCCCTTTCCCTTTCTTCTGATAAATGTTTCAGTTTCCCTTTGAAGAACCACCTCTCTGCCATGACATCCGATCCTGACACAACTCTCAGTATGAACTGCTCCCGATCCGCACTGGGCAAAGGGTGACCACAAGGCCCAAGGTAGGCCAATCTTGCCTTGTCCCCTGGAATCTGACTCATAAGCAGAATGACTCAAGACAGAAAGCAGTTAAAATTCAGTCTCTCTGGTGTCAGTGCCTTGAAGAGCTTTTCCTGAGTTCTTGCCCCCTAGGCCCCTGGAACTCTATAGTCCTTTACAAAATTTGATTAACAGTTCTTCCTTTGATTCTATTAGCTTTCCAAACCCCTTTAATAAATTTCCTTTTTGCTGAAATTAGCCAAAACTGATTTCTGTTGTTTGTGTAACCATTATGTTGAACAAATAGGCCTCCCCAAATTAAATCATGAAGTAACCTTATTTTTCTCTCTCATGTCTCTTTATAGCTATTCATGAGCCTAGCTTCTCTGGTCCCTGCATACACAGCGTATAAGTTAAGACAGTGGCTCAGAAATCAAACATTCTGGGCTCAAATTCTAACTCCAAGCCCTGCTAGCTATGTTACTTAATGTCTTTCTGCCTCAGCTTCCTTATCTGTGAAATGGAATAAAGACACCTATCTCATTAGGTTATTTTAAAACTTAAATGACTTCCCAAATGTAAAATGCCTGGAAGTGTGCTTGGCACACAGTAAGTCCTGAAAAATGTTATAGAGCTGATGGCAGTAGTGTCCAGTGAGATGTCCTTTTTCCTCACAACCTATCACATTAGGCCCTGGCCATTCTTGTTTCCACACCTATGCTCATGCTAGCCCTCTTTCCTTTTCTAAATCCTTCAAGACATAATTGAAGCAAGCACCACCATTTCCACAAAGCCCACACTGATCTACAAAGACCACATTAACCTGTTACTTCACTTACAGGAATTATAATCTGTAGTAGATACATGAGTCTTGATTTCATATCATTCTACCGGGTTTTAATTGTACCTGTATCTAAATCATGACTAGAATAAGAAAAGTGTTCCTTGAAGGCAAGAATGACATTTTATATTATTCTATGTCCTTCATATTACTTACTCCAGAGTAAGGTTCATAAGTCCTTAATAATTAACTTTTGAATGGCCCTCTGAGCAGCTGAAAATATTTCCAACCATAATTACTTCTGGGTTTGCATAGCTTCAAGCCCTTAGGCCTATGTTTTAGTATATATGTTGCCGAAGTGAGCACAGGGCCTATGCTTTTATTGTGTGCATAAGCGTACAAAAAAGACAGGGTACAGAACTTTCTTTTTTCTTCCCACACTGGCCCATACACACTGGGTATCCAGTAAATGTCATTAACTAACTACAAAAAAGCTGAAAAATTCAGGAGCTGGAAATTCATTCCAAATATGATAGGAAATTCCAAATGTATCTGTTACTGTTAAGATTGGAAACTATAAGGCTGAAAGGCCCTGTTTTGTTTAAAACTTTAAAACTTGGAGATAAGGGAAACGGATACTCACACATTTTTTCTCTTCTAATATATTTTTTTTCTCAAGAACTGTTGATGAAGGACAGTAGAAAAGGTAACTATTGTATCTTTTTATTGTCATGTTTCTGAAGAAATATTCTTTTATTTTTGGAACTCTGCATAACATAAAGTACCCCATCTCCTTTCTCTGGTTTCTCTAACCATGTGAAAAAGTATACGTAGAAATAAAAACATTTCACACTGATGCCCAAGAGTGTATCATTTACATATAAAAAGATGGCACTGTTTCAGAGCTATGTGGGCAGTATTTTAGTCATGTGGAAAAGCCAACTGGGAAAGAGAAACTGAGTAAGCCTAGCCTCAACTCCATGTGAAGCTGTCTGTGGGTGCATAATTGACTCACTTAGCTGACCCTGGCAACAAGTTTATATTATATCCAAATGACACCTCTATAAAATTCCATACTTTTTGGCTTACGTTGTTTAATGAATATGGTTATTCCAAAGTTAAGAAAAAATTCTTTTTTTCTAAATGCTATCCACTATGAATTTTTCAACCAGACTGATTCTTCATTGTTTCCTTTCTACGGGAACAATCTACAAGAGAAAGAAAAGGATGAGAGAAAAAACTACACCTCTTACTTGGACTGTGCGAGACAGCCGGGTGCAACCATGTGCTGACTCTCGTCCTCGGCCTGCAGTGCAGTGAGTTCCACCATGTTAACCATCACGTCACTGCTGTGGCCCGGAAGCTGGGGAAGCACTGAAAGGATCTTCTCCACCAAGTTGTCTCCATGATGTCCAGCCGCCCCTGTTTAAGCAGACAAGAAAATATGAACTCACAAAATGGGAGGAAAAAGCAGCTAAATTGGGCTTCCCTGGTGGCGCAGCGGCTGAGAATCTGCCTGCTAATGCAGGGGACACGGGTTCGAGCCCTGGTCTGGGAGGATCCCACATGCCGCGGAGCAACTGGGCCCGTGAGCCACAGGTGCTGAGCCTGCGCGTCTGGAGCCTGTGCTCCGCAACAGGAGAGGCCGCGATAGTGAGAGGCCCGCGCACCGCAATGAAGAGTGGCCCCCGCTTGCCACACCTAGAGGAAGCCCTCGCACAGAAACGAAGACCCAACACAGCAAAAATTAATTAATTAAAAAAAAAAAAAAAGCAGCTAAATTAATGTTCTATAATACCCCTTCTATCAAAAACAGTATCCATTTTTAGCTTCTGTTACACAAATCAATAACATAAACCTAACATTCTGCCCTTAGTAACACTAATCAATCTCACAATTACCTACAAAATGTATGTCTTGTGTGTTGGACTTAATGGTCCCTGAGAGCAGGCACTGTGTCTGCTCTGGTTACTGCTATAATTCCCAGCACCTAGCATAGTGCCTACACATGGTAGGCATCAATAGGTATTTAGTGGATAAATAAATAATAAACATTTGGAAGGTCAGGTAAATGGCATGATAGGACGACACTATCCTGAAATTTTAGAGCCAAAAGGATTTTCTTTATTTTACTGATGAAAACCTTAAGACCCAGAAAGGCTTAGAGACCTGACCAAGAATAGCAGATCTCCCCCTTGCTAGAAGTTTATCTTCATAATGGCAACCATTTATCTAGTTCACCCTCTACCCACCATGTCTAGCAGGCAACTTGGCAGCTAGTAGGCTCACTAATTATTTGTCAGATGAAGGAAAGAACAAATGAATGAATAGTAACAGTTTGCAGTGATAAAAGCATTTATACAGTGCTTTCTGTGTACCTGGCACTGCTCTAGTTGCTTTACATATATTAATTCTTTTAATAACAAATGAATTAATAAGCTCAAATTAAAATTCAAGACCAATGACACAGTTTAATGCTTTTTCCATGAGACCAAGTTATCTTTCCAAAAGCCATCAATGCTTGGAAGACATGATTCCAACAATGGGTGGGACTGGTCAAATCAACTTGTTTTGATCCCACCCACTTCAAATCAATTAATATTTTACTTCCTAATGTCTATCTCTATTGTTTTTGCCATGTCATATTAATTGCACAGAAGAGCTAGGTAGAAAAGACTAAACCAGAAATCCAAGGAATCACTGTCAGCACCATCATCTTCTCCGTCACAATAGCTAATATTTATTGAGAGCTTATGACGTACCAGGTATTAACTTCCATACTGTACATTTATTATCCACTTAATTCTTAGAACAACTCTAATAGGTAGGTATTATTATGCTCATTGACAGAGTAGAAGATTCAGTTTAAGTAACTTGCTCACAATTATATATGTTGTAAATTACAGAGCAAGAATTCAAACTCAGGAGGCAGAACTCCAAAGACCATGCCATTAAAAAAAAAAAAAATCAGGCCCATAAAAATGACTTAAGACAGAACCAGCATGAGTGCTTCTAATGTGGCTTCCGATGCTAAAGAAAACAGTTCTAATTCTACCAGTAAAATATTCACTTATTAGGCCTGGAAGGAACCATGTCTTATTTATGTTGTCTATAGTTTATGGTTGTCTCCCCAGCACTCACACTACAAGCTACTCGTTAAATACTTGCTGAATGAATGCCTAGTGACTATAAGTGGCCCTGAGATCCACAGGGCAGTCAGAAGTCTCTAAGTGAATAATATCTTTAAGCCTGGAAAGAATGGAGATACGACAATTACCCCAAAGCATCATTTCTCTCTCCACTAGTAACCTCCTCACTTATTTAAAAACTTCCACTCATCACTACAATAACTCTTCTTTGAACCTGGTGCCCAAATTCTGAGCCCTGCCCCCAAGCTCTTCTTATTTTTATTTGCCATTCACAGACACATGGTACAGACAAGTAGTCTATATGTTCTGCCTTTCTTTCCTAACTTCTTTAGCCCCGACAATCTAGCTGCGACTCACTCTTCCTCCCTATGCTAAATGCAGGGGTCTTTGGCAAGTCTCAGTTCATTAAACCTTTGGCAAATTAAAACTGTTGACTAATCCAGTCCTCCTGAAACTCTCCAAATATGAGAAGTCAAGACATGACGTACTTGTTTTTCCTTAAGGTTTAATAGCTAATAGTTATTTTTACAGAACCAATGTTATCATTTACATCCTTAAAATACTATATACTAACACCCTAAATGTTCAGAAGTAGAGGAGTAGTTTTTTAAATTTATGGCATATTTAATGAAGCAGTTCTCAAATTGTGATTTTTATTTTCTTCTATTTATTTATAGATTCTAAACTTTCTATGGTGAACATATATTCCCATTGTAATGAAATGAAAAAACATGCTATACACACATATAAATATCCCAAAATTTTACCAAGGGTTATCGTTGAATGGTAGGACTTTGGTTGATGTAAACTCTACCTAAAATTAATTTTTCCCCCGTGTTTTCTGCAAGGAGCACATGAGACTGACCTAAATTAATTAGAAAAATAATTTACACTCT